GCCCCCGCCATGGCCGCTGCTCAGGATGGTGATGGCTGCAGGCCTCCCGCAAGCATCGGGAGTGGCCATCACCCGTGTGTCGCTCATTCCAGCTGCCCCAGAGGTCCTTCTGTTGCCTGAGCTCTGTCCGCCTGTCCCCCAGCCTTGGCCATGCGTGTCTGCCCTTGGGATGGGGTCAGAAAGGACAGTGTTGCAGAGAGCGAGAGGCAGAAGCCCCGCAGTCTAGTGAGCAGGGACTCAGAACCGGAAAGAGCTGTGTCCCCAGGAAGGCAGTGTGAGCTTACTGACCAGGCTGCTGGCTCTCGGGCGGCGAGGCCCTGCCCTGTTCGTGACTGACTAGAGCTTGGCACGTGGGATTTCATTTTATGGTGTCGGGCTTTATCTCTGCGTCAGTGCGTTTTCAACTGGTAACTTAATGAAGTTCAGCCTTCCTGCCTTTGTTGGATTTTTTGTTGTCGTTGTTCAAAGAAAGGTACAAACTTGCTTTATTTGTAATGTGTTAGAGAAACCTTTACATGGAAGCTTAATGGGATAAAAGAGCATAGGCAGGGCCCGAAGCAGCCCCATAAGGGCTCCTGTTAGCCTCCGGTTAGCGGCCCGGGACAAACTGTGTGTCTCACAGAGGCCTGCCCTTCCCCTCTTCCACATGCAGCTGTCCAGGCTTCCTCTCCTGCGATGCACTTCCAGTTTAGTGGGCCATTTAGCCCTGCATGTAACTCCCAGATCTTTCCTCCTTGGACTTTCCTTTATCTGGACAGGCTTTCGGTTTTTAGCATTTTCTTGAAAATGTTGCAGTCTTACCAAAACACAGCATTTCAGTAGTTTATGTAAGGTCTTGGTTGTCTGGTTTATTGGTTTTATACAAAGGTCATTTGGTTAAAATGTGGAGATTGCTCCCCCTCCAGAGTTATCTGAGTGGTATCTGATCTCAGTGGATTTTAATGAGTCGCAGGCTCAATGGAAAGTCTGAAGAAACCTTGAGATATTCCCCAGGATAGTTTGCATGTGTATTTAACAAGTTGTCCGTAGAATTTCAGGAGGTCCACAGAGCCCAGGAAGCATCCACGTCTCCTAGTTGAAGAGCCAGTGGTCTGTGGCTCTATCGTCCAGTACGGTGGCCACCAGCCCGTCACGAGGCCATTTCAATCTAAATTTGTTACTTTTGAATAAATTTAAAAACTGACTCCCCATCACAACTACCACATTTCAAGTGCTCCGTAATTACACACCTACTTCTCGGACAGAGCAAATAACTCCCGTGCCATTGCAGGAAAGTCTGGGCCGATACAGTCACTGTGGTCCCATTAGCTTATAAATCCATGTATTTACAAAATATCTATTCATTTTAGCAAAGCCTAGACATTCTTTTGTACCTGCTAGTTATAGGTGATATCGAGACCAAACCCTGCCCAGCCCAGGGGCTGTCCTTCAGTAAGCAGGGCCCTATAGTTAGTCTAAAAAGCAACAGTTTATTTTCCCGTGTTACTCAGTACCCCCTTTCTAGTTAAAATACTTTTTATAGTTCTTTCAGTTACATTTTTGAAATAATTATTTTTATTTATTTTTGTTTTCAAATTTAATCCATGGTGGGGACCAGCAGTTAGCATAATGGCTATGTCGCTGGACTCCCACATAGTCGACCACGGTTCGCGTCCCGGACCTGGTGGCTTAAAACTCATTCTGGGCGCGTGTGCATGCGTGCCCAAGTTCCTGCGAGGAGAATGGAGGAGAAGGGATTGCGGCATGACCATCCCCCCTGGGGGGTGATTTCTCGCTTTCTGTCTCTCTGTGTGGCGAGCGCATGCGCCATATGGCAAAAAAAACTCTCCAATAAATAAACAAATAAATAAATAAAATTTAAAAAAATTTAACCCACGAGAGGGAGAAATGAGAAAGCGAGCTGTCAGGTCTGGGATTCGAATCATGACTGGCCACGTGGGAGTCCAGCTCTTTAACCACCACGCCACCTGCTGTCCCTGAATTGTATTTTTGAAAATTCTTCTCTTAATCCCTTTTATAATCAAAATGACTGTCTAATCAGAGTGGCAGGAAAGAATCTTACACCCTCACGTCAGTATCAAGCTCCTGTCTCCGTTTTCTAAGTAGCTATCAGGAGTAATTTCACAGGTCGGTTTAAAGATAAGCGATAGAGAAGCACTTTGCACAGCGCAATTCGCTTGGACTATCCTCTGATGGGCCCCGTTTGTGTAGCCCTTCCTCTTGCCCAGGTAGTCTCTGTGATGTTTACTGTAGCCGGTGTAAGCTGTGGGATTTAGGTCACGCTAAGTTACTTGGGCTTGCACTGGGCGCTTGACTTCATCTCTGTTTGCCTTCTTTCCATCTTTTGTCTCTGTAGTCGCTAACTTACTTGTTAACATCAGCCAAAAAAGAGATTGAATTAATGTCAGAAGAGCTGAGGGGTCTGAAATCAGAGAAGCAGCTCCTTGCCCAGGAGGGAAATGCTTTAAAGTTAGAAAAAGGCTCACTCTTATCAAAGCTTGTAGAGGTGGAGGCCAAAATAACTTTGCTTCAGGAAGACCAGCAGAAACTGTGGTCAGTAAACGAAACTCTTAATTTAGAGAAGGAGAAAGTCTTAGAAGAAAAGCAAAATGCCGAAAAGCTTCATCAACAGGAACACCTCGATAAAGAAGCTTTGGCTATTGAAAGAGAGAAGCTGCTTCAAGAAGTCAATGCTGCGCAGGAAGAGCTCTTGAAGATAAGTATGGAGAACGAGTCCTTGCAGGCTTCCGAGGCGAGCACGCAGGCGCTCATCAGAGAGCTCCAGTCCTGCAAAGCGGCGCTGATGGCCGAGTCCGAGAAGGACCGGGAAGAAAAAAGCCACTTGGAGGACCAGTTCAAGACGCTCATTTCGGAAAACCTTATCTTGGCTAAAGATAAGGATGACATTATTCAGAAGCTTCAGAGTTCCTACGAGGAGTTAGTCAAAGACCAGAAGTCCTTGGTGCAGGAGATCGAGGAGATGACAGCTGAGAAAAAGTCCGCTCTGGAGAAGCAGTCGAGCCTCGACAGCGTGTGCGTGGCCTTGAAGACGGAGCGAGACGGGCTCCTTCAGAGCGTCAGGGAGCTGCAGGCCGAGAAGGACGCGCTGCGCCAAAATCTAGACAAGCTGCACGCCAACCTGGAAGCCGCCCTCCAGGTCAAACAGCTGCTCCACACAGAGGCCAGCGGGCTCCGTGCCCAGCTGGAGGAGGCCAGCAAAGCTCTGCGGAAGGCCGAGCTGGAGACCAGGCAACTTCAGGCCACAAACGCGAGCCTCTCGAAGCTCCTGGAAGAGATCAAGGCCAGCCGCGCGGTCACAGACTCTGAGTGCATCCAGCTTCTGCATGAGAAGGAAACCCTGGCCGCCTCTGAGAGGAGGCTCTTGGCTGAAAAAGAAGAACTCGGACGGGAAAACAGGATCATCGCGGAAAAACTCAGCAAGTGCTCGGAAGAGGCCGCCCGCGTCGAGGTGAGCTTGAATGAGACGATCGCGTACTTAACTTCTGAGAAGGAGGTGGCGTCTCAGAAAATCTCTAAACTTAAAAAGCAGCAGGATAGTCTCTTGAGAGAAAAGTCTGCACTGGAAATGCAGAATGGAGATTTACTTGCAGAGAGGGAAAATTCCGTCAAAGCCTTCGGAGACCTTAAAAGGAAGTATGATCAAGAATCGGCCAACAGAAGAGTAATCGTGCACGAGAAGATGAAACTCCTCGGCAACATCGATGCTCTGAGGAAAGAGCTTCAGGAGAGAAAGCGAGAAAACCAGGAACTAGCCGCCAGCAAGTGCGACCTCTCTCTGATGCTGAAAGAGGCTCAGAGTGCCAAGAAGAGCCTAGAAAAAGAACACACCAACATACTGCAAGTGAAGGAGAGCCTGAACGCGGAGCTCAAGACCTGCTGTTCTGAAAAAGACATTTTGCTTAGAGATGGCTTGAACCTGCAGGAAGAGTGTCAGAAGCTAACCGAGGAGGTCCAGGAGATGCAGCAGTCCTTGATCCTGGTGAAAGAAGCCAGGGCGAAGGAAAACGAGTCCTCCTTGTGTGAGAACAACAAGCTTCACGGGAGGCTGGCGCTCCTGGAGCAGGAAGTGCAGAAGCTGAGAGTGAGCTCCACGGAGCTCCAGTCCGAGAAGTGCGCGTTGATCCAAGAGAAGACCAACCTGGAGCAGAAGGTGCTGGAGATCGTTAAAGAGAAGGAGCTGCTGAGTGCAGAGACGGCCCAGCTCGCCGCCAACATCGAGACTCTGAAGGGCGATTTCGCCGCCTTGTCCAAGTCCAAGTCAGAAATGCAGGACCTGCACACTTACGTCACCAAGATTCTGGAGGACCTGCGGCGGAACCACGAGGTGACCCTGGCCGAGAGGGCCAAGGTCGTGCAGGACAACAAGAACCTGCTGGCCGAGAAGAGGGAGCTGACGCTGCAGAAGGACGAGCTCCTGAAGGAGAAGGAGCAGCTGGCGGAGAGCTACTTCGTCCTTCAGAAAGAGATCAGCCAGCTGGCCAAGACCAACAGCCACGTCTCAGCCAGCCTCCTGGAGTCACAAAATGAAAACCGTACTTTGCGGAAAGACAAGAGCAAGCTTACCCTTAAAATTAGAGAGCTCGAGACTCTTCAGTCACTTACGGTAAAGTGAGGGGTTCAATATGGCGCCCCCTGGACTACCTACTAACACCAGGCACTGATGGCAGGCCATAGGCGAGTCTTCACTTCCGCTTACAGAAACCCGCCCCATTAACCCATTGCTGTGTGTCTGGAGCTGTGTATTCCCGTCTGAAAGGGTGACTAAATGTCCATCTGGAGTAGGCTCCCCCACTGGAAAAAGTTGTAAACTGTGAATAAAAAAGATGTATTTTTTTTTCCCAATTTAGGGAGAAACTTTATGAAGAAATTAAGTAGTTCTTAAAGACTTTAAGTGCAATAGTAAACCGGGCCCGTTTTGAAATACGATTTCTCCGATTGGGCTTTGTATCCCTCCACTTTCAAGTGGAGGGGTTTCACTGAAATCTCCACGGCTGATAATAGCATAGACAGAATGCAAAACTGTCATGTTATTAGCCACGTGAAATTGTGAGCAAGCGTCTACAGCCATTTCACTGTATCTTCATGGTTATGTTGTATCCAAATTTTGACAATTGCTTTTGATATTTAGCAGCCAAGAATTTGCACGTGTGTACGTCTTTTTTATTCACAGGCATATTTATGTTCGTGACCCACAACTTCTCTCATAGACTTCCCCATGAAATGCTTCTCATTAAGCCCTGGAGCCTTAATGCTGTAATTGTCCATATAATTTTTATTTCTGTTTTTAACATTCCAAACCTAGATTCTGAGTGACTTCCAAAGCCCCACATTCGAAATAGCAAGGCCATTCTTTTTAAACGTATACCCATAAATATGATTAAGAGAAAGCCAGCTGTAGAAGAGTATCACTCTGTCACTGAGTGACCTCTCAGACCTAAGTCGGAATATTGAGAGCTTGCTTGGCAGTGCGCCTTGGAACTTCCACAGGGAAGTGTAGGCTTGAAGGGTCTAGAGAGGTGGATTGCCCAGGAACGGACTCAGGGCCTCAGAAGGGCCTCCAGTGTCATCCCCCTTTAGAACAAAGCCCTTCCTGTGCACCTGCCGTTCCAGCACTGGCTTGGTGACTGGCCCCCCCTCACG